GAGAACCCACAGACACAGAACATGCAGACTCCACACAGAAAGGTCCTGGTTCCCCCAGGGACTCTAAACCAGAACCCTCTGGGACTCCAACCCAGAACCCTCTGGCAAGTAAAACAAAATCGCAGGGCAATTTATAGCCCTCTCTGAGTCTGAAATTAGAGGTAAAGTCTGTCTTGCTGCACCTGTATTAAACAGTCCTCAAGACAAAACATTAAGAGACAGTCTGTATGTTAATGTAGCTTATTTATTGTGTCAGGTAGCCCAAGTTAAATCTAGTTTTTAGTTTAGTTAATATACCTTTTTGCACCTTACCCACCAAATGTTACTGCAGTATTAGAGCTAGTGTTAGGATAGGTCTGCTTTGACAGTGTTTTTACTTGGCGTCAGTATCTTGTCTTCACCGTGGGATGGTGAGGGAAGTCATTTAGATTTTTTTGTATGTGTGGTACGTCTAAAGAAATTGTCAAATAAAACGACTTGGTGTTTTAGTAAAGACGATGCACTTGTTACGTGCGCACGTGAGCCCTCCACAGACACCAATCAAGTCGGAATCCAAGTAGAACAACACATCAGTATCTTTTGCATTTAGTATCCAACAAAAACAAATGACACTAGACATTCAGGTCAACATACTTGTTTTTTCTCATAGCTGCTCATGGAACAATGAAACAGCGCAAACAATACAGAGGAATTCAACTTTTTGTTTCTGTTCGCATTGAACTAGACCAGGGTTCAAACACTTTTAAATCAAATAATTCCGGATGGCAACAAACATTCAAAGACCTCTGTCTAAAAGATTCAGATGCATAAGGAACTGATTTGTGCGCTGCACGGTGTCCCCAGAAGCTTTTCTCATCAGAACGATTCTGCAGACAACCAAAACAGGTCGAGTTTTCTTTCCATCGTGTGACGGTTGCTTGTACCCACGAATGTGGGTGGAACAGCACAGGAAGGCATCTCAGGACAGGCAGGTATGTAAAAATGGGCAGCTGCAGCCTCCCCAAGCTCTAACATCTAATAAAAGTAATGCTTCATTAAATGCTGAGTCAGCAACTATGAAATTTCCGTTTTCGGAGATCTAAGCGAGTCAACGTGGTTCCAGCAGGTTCAGACCCCTCAGTGCCAATTAAGGTGCATTTCCGACGAAATATAACCTGCAAAATGCATAAACATATAAACAAATCTTTATATGGTGCCAATTACGTTTAAGTTTATGTAAAAGGTGTGGTGTCAGTCCATTTAACCTGACCCCCCCTCAGCCTGCAGGTACTGATTGTTGTACAGAAGGTTACAGCTGTCCCAGACTGTTGCCTTCCTGATTTAATGAGCTCCTATCAGGCCTCCTATTGGGCTTCCTAAAGGACTCCTATCAGGCCAAGAGACTTTTATCGGATCTCCTATCGAGACCCCTAAGAGACCATCAAACAGATCTCCCAATGGCCTCCTAGCGGACTCCCTTTCGGCGCCCTAATGGATCTCCTATCTAGCCTCCTAATGAATCTCCTCTCAGGCCTCCTGATGGATCTCCTATCTGGCCTCCTAATGGATCTCCTATCAGGCCTCCAGATGGATCTCCTATCAGGCCTCCTGATAGATCTCCTATCTGGCCTCCTAATAGATCTCCTTTCCCTGCGTCTGAGTTCAGGTGGGTTTCGATTGTCACCTTGATCAGAGCTCTCTCAGTGCTGTGGGGGGGGGGGGGCTAAAGCCTGACTGGAAAAAAATTAACAGCAGCCCACAGAGGTCTGGACACCCCCTATCTCAGATCTGTAGATCTGTAGGTCGTAGCAGCAGATAAAGACGACGCACGTGCACACGTGAGTCCTCCACAGCAAACCGATCAAGTCGGAATCCAAGTACAACAACAGATGAGTATCTTTTGCATTTAGCATCCAAAAAAAACAAATAGCACAATGCATTCAGGTCAACACACCTGTTTTTTCTCATAGCTGCTCATGGAACAATGAAACTGCGCAAACAAAGCAGAGGAATTCAACTTTTTGTTTCTGTTTGCCATGAACTCGACCAGGGTTCAAACACTTTCAAATTAAATAATTCAGGATGGCAACAAACATTCAAAGACCTCTGTCTAAAAGATTCAGATGCATGAGGCACTGATTTGTGGGCTGCACGGTGTCCCCAGAAGCTTTTCTGATCAGAACGATTCTGCACACAACCAAACCAGGTCGAGTTTTCTTTCCATCGTGTGACGGCTGCTTGTACCCATTGCATGAATGTGGGTGGAACAGCACAGAAGAGCATATCAGGACAGGCAGGTATGTCAAAACCGGCAGCTGCGACTTCTCACAGCTCAGCATCTAATAAAAATAATGCCTCATTAAATGCTGAATCAGCAACTATGAGTCCTTCCTTTTCGGAGGTCTGAGAGATTAAACATGGTCCCAGCAGGCCCAGACCCCTCAGTGCCAATTAAGGTGCATTTCCAACTTAGCATAAATTGCAAAATGCATAAACACCCCCCCTGCGTGCTGGTACTGATTGTTGCTCAGAAGGTTTCAGCTATCACATACTGTTGGTTTCCTGATTTCATGAGCCCCTATCAGGCCTCCTATTTGGCCTCCTAAAGGACTCTTATCAGGCCAACAGACTTTTATCGGATCTCCTATCGAGACTCCTAAGAGGCCATCAAACATATCTCCCAATTGCTTCCTACCTAGACTCCTTTTTGGCCTCCTAATGGATCTCCATTCAGGCGTCTTAGTGGATCTCCTATTGGGCCTTAAGGTGGACTGGTTAATGCACCTTAAGTGGGGACAAAAATTTGGAGATATAATGATGAAGACCCAGAAGGGGGGCCACCTGGCCATCAGAACTTCAGAGGATAAGATAAGACAAGACAAAACAAGACAAGACAACACAAGACAAGACAAGACAAGATAAGATAAGATAAGATAAGATAAGATAAGATAAGATAAGATAAGATAAGATAAGTTAATAAGACGATGAACAAGGTCCCCATAATCCAAACTGGGCTAAAATGGAGCAGCAACAAGTTTCTTCTTTGTGACAAACAAAGCTTAGATACCAGCATAGTCTTTGGACCTCTGCCTTTGAAGGGTGAGAACTGCAGGACTAATCTGCAGATTGCTCTATGATTTTTAGAACGATATCCACCTGCTCTTATCAAGAAAGGTCTGGTTGTAGAGAAACATGTTTTTTTAACAATGTCAAAACCCTTTTTGGCAGAGCTATAGAATCCAATATTATCAGTGGTCATGGTAAGATTCTGGACAATAGTTTTAAACTTTTCTCATATAAACAATAACAATGTGTGCATTCTGTCAGATGGTAAGAGAAAGTAAAAGTTGAATACCTTCGCCTTGCTGAAACAATTGCATTGTTCTTTGGAAAGCAGGCAAACAAAATGCAGGTTTTAGAAAAACAAAGGTGTGTTGGGGTAGATGCCATCTGAATGATGTAGCAGCATGAGTGCAATGATACAAAAACATATTTTTATGCATTTCTACGGAAGGAAACCTGCAAAAAGGGCGCAGAAAAAACACAAAGTGGACTTCCAGTGTAAGGAGAGCCAGTCTGGAGCATCTGATTAGCCGTGAAATTAAAGAACTGGGCTTGGATTTATTGTGTGACTGTGGAATAAAAGCGCTGTTATGCAGTCTGAGTTTCATCTCTCCTCCGGCTTAAGTTGTCTTTTCCTAAAAAATCACAGAAGGCGTTTACAGTAAATCCCCTTCCAACCTGCTG